TTTTTTTTTTAAAGATTTTATTTTTTCCTTTTTCTCCCCAAAGCCCCCCGGTACACAGCTGTGTATTCTTCGTTGTGGGTTCTTCTAGTTGTGGCATGTGGGACGCTGCCTCAGCGTGGTCTGATGAGCAGTGCCATGTCCGCGCCCAGGATTCAAACTAACGAAACACTGGGCCGCCTGCTGCAGAGTGCGCGAACTTAACCACTCGGCCACGGGGCCAGCCCCAGACCCCATTCCTTTTGGGAACCCCAGGCCTCTGAGCTGCTGATCCCCTCACTCCCACCCAGTGAGAGAGTGAAAGAGTCCTGTGACTGTCCCCTTTTCTAGGATCCCAGAAGAGCTCGCCATTGCACATGTACATTCCAGGCCCTGCCATGGGACCCTCCCTCCTGTCTGTCCCTTAGCTCAGGAGGTGGAATGGAACAGGAGTTGAAAGGAGCATTCAGGCCACTCTCCCACCCCCACCCCTCCAGCAATTTTTAAACACACAGTGGCCATCTGTTTACAAATTTTGGTCTTGCTTCTTCTTTTTAGGAACTGTATGTTATTGCATTTCTATGGCTGTACCTTAATTTATTTAACCCAACCTTTTCCCGTTTTTTTTTTAATATCCTATAATGTATTGTCCTTATAGATTCTTCATCATCATGCCATTACTATTATTCTAAAATTCTAAATTTTCAGTACCTGATTCCCAAAGCTCCATGATGATGATAATAATAATGTTAGAAATTATTGAATGACCATTATGTGCTAGGGCCTTATATGTATTACTGAACACCTTATCACAGCCCTATTTTATCCTGATTTTACAAATAAAGAAACTAAGTCTCAGAGAGGTTAAGTGACTTATTTAAGGTCACACAGCTAATAGGAGGTGGTGCCAAGCTCCAGCGCTCTCTTGCTTTTCCTCATCTCATACCCCGCATGGAGGATACACTGGGTCAGGTTTCCAGTCCGGCTTCTGCAACTTAGTAACCATACTTCCCCTGACAAGTGACGTTAGCTCCCTGGGACCTAGATTCTTCTATTACCATAATCTCCGCCTTGCCTCCCTCCCAGCGGGGTTGAAGAGGACAAATGACATCATGAGTTTGGAAGTGCTATAAAAACTATAACGTGCCATACAAATGTAAGGGATGATTAAGAGATTATTACTGAGTACACAGATAAGCTTGTTTACTTCAGGCACCTTAGCCCTTTGACAAATGTGAAGGCTATGTCTAGAGACCTTGTCAAATCCCTAAATTGGATACCATATAAAGATTGTATAAACATAGGCATAAATCTGTTTACAAAGATACAAAGTTATTTGTAAATGTTGTCTGGAGCATTTGCTCGAAGTGTTTTGTGAATCACCTTTCCTTAATTTCTTTGAACTGAATGAGGCGCTATCCATGGTCCACTGCCGAGTTCCACATTCCCCTCTTTATTTGTCAAAGGTTCCTATTTTCTGTCTAAGAAACGTTGCTTTCTGAGAGAAGCCTCTCTACTTTCTCTTCACTCCTATCATAAGACTAGTGTTGAAACAAAGAAACAAGACTTTCTTTTTCATCGTTTTTGAAGGATTACAAAGTGCAAGATAATGTGTTGACTTGTAAGCGATACAAATTCATGCCTCAATCAATGACAAATGCCACAGATCACGGGCATTCAAGGTCCTCTGAGAATTCAGATCTCTGAGTTAAATCCTTGAGTATCACGGTTCTATGGCAGAAATTATGGATTCCTTTAGTCTGCTCTCTGCCTGGTGACTCGAGCGGCCTGGCTCCCTAACTAATGTGTAAGTTTCTTGACACAATGGCTGCATCTTTTCCGTCTTCAGCTTCCTCTCCAGAAGTCCCCAGTGCTTGGCGTTTTCATGATTATGCAAAAATTATCTCTAGACCCGAGCGACATCACATTGACTGATCATTTTTTTCTGTTGTGCACATCCTTCTGTAGAGGCAGACGGATGCAGTGAAAGAGCAGGGGTCTAGTCGGCTCTTGCGTGGGACCTCAGGTCAGTCAGTGTTTGTAGACTGGTCTTTATTTTATCCACCTGGTGTGAAGGAGAATTGGGACAGGACGATCTTTGAGACCTGTTTAATTAATTAAACAAGGAGGCCATTAGACTGAGGCGGCTCTCATGCCTTGGCGGCCTGAGTAAGCAAACCAAAATCTAATCCTGTAAATGCCTCAGGGCTACAAAATCAAAATGCTAATGACAATCAATTAGAAACAGCCAACTAGCCTTTAAGCTGTAGCCCATCAATGATTTCCTTCTTTGCTTCCATACTTTTTATAAGTCTTTTCTCCGGCTCCCTTCCCTAGAGCGCTCTAACCACTTCTAGGTTGTCCTTGCCAGACTTGAATAGATTTTTTGCTCAAATAAACTCCTAAAATTTTTAGTATGCCTCAGTTTATCTTTTAACAGACCATGGTTCCCAGATCTGGCCAATCACCTGGGGACAAAGAGATATCTGAGCTCCTTCCAGGAGGTTCTGACTCAGACTCCATCTGAGTCAGATAAGAAGCTGTGATAAGATGACCTAACACTTAGCAAGAACTTACTGGGGCCTAGGCACGGGTGCTAAGTGTTTTGCAAGTTCGTGTTCTCCGTTTATATTTTCACGACCCTATGTGGTAGTTGCTATTACGGCCCCCATTTTACAGAGGAGGAAATTGAAGCTAAAAACAGGAGGGAAAGAAAGAAAGAAAAGAAAAGCTACTTAAAAGTTTATGCAACTGGTAAGGGGTCGAGTGGAGATTCCAACTCAGACCGAGCAACTCCAGACCGCGCTCTCAATCACTGGGCTCCGTAAGGCTTTTTCGAGGGGTTTCTGGTGATTTTGATGATTAAACTCTTTAGACTTTAGAAAAGCTTTGAGAAAAGCTACCGAGAGAGCCACGACACTCTCAAAGGGTGCATTTATTTGAAATGTATGTGTCATCCCCGCGCCCAGCGTTTCTGGAAGTAAAATGGTTTGGGAACAGCTTTCTCTCTAAACATAAGACGCGCAGGGGGACCTCTTGTCAGCATTCCCCATCTTTCAGGGAACGTGGAGTCCACTCCGCGAACCTCCTTGATCTCACAGGTTGACCCAATCTGGGAGCCCACGGCGAGTCTTTCTGTACACCTGGCACTTCTGGTCCCGCCCCGATTCTCGAAACCCCCAATCCCAAGCCCGCTCACCGTGATTGACGTGCCCCTAGAGCAATCAAGATCGGTCATGGCGGGCGGCCGCCCCGCCTCCCCGACGACCCCGCCTCCCTTTCATTCTGCAGGAAAGAACCTCAGCCCGGGCGTCCAATGAGAAGCGCCTCCACCCCAAAGGTCCCGCCTCTTTCGGCGCCGACCCCGCCCCGAGGGCCGGAAGGATGCCCGCCCCTCTGCGTGGCACGGCCCAATCGGAGGGCCCGTTCGTCCGGATGGACGGCAGCCGGCCCAATCGCCGGGCCTCGGGTGGCGCCGCCCCGCCCCTCCGCCGGGGCCGAGCGGCTGGCGAGAGCGGGCCTCGGGGCGGCGGCGGCGGCGGCGGACGCGGCCTGAGGGAGCGGCCGGTGCCGCGCGGGGCTCGCCTCGCCCGCGGCGGGGTCCATGGCCTGAGCGGCCATGTCCGGCGTGGTGCGGACCCTCAGCCGCTGCCTGCTGCCGGCCGAGGCCGGCGGGGCCCGCGAGCGCAGGGCGGGCGGCGGCGGGGCCCGCGACGCGGAGCGCGAGGCGCGGCGGCGCAGCCGGGACATCGACGCGGGGCTGGCCCGCGAGCGGCGCGCCGTGCGGCGCCTCGTCAAGATCCTGCTGCTGGGCGCGGGCGAGAGCGGCAAGTCCACCTTCCTCAAGCAGATGCGCATCATCCACGGCCGCGAGTTCGACCAGAAGGCGCTGCTCGAGTTCCGCGACACCATCTTCGACAACATCCTCAAGGTGCGCGCGCCCCCGCCGCCCCGCCCGCACACCTGCGCCCAGGTGCGCCCAGGTGCGCGCAGGGGCGGCCCGGGGACCCCCGCGCCCCGGCCGGGACCGCGGCCCCCACCCTCCTCCATCTGCCCCCTGACCCGGGTGCAGCTCCAGATGCTCCCAGTCTTGGGGGGCCGGCCAAGGATGCGCGCCCCTGCTCCCCGTCGGCCTGATCGCCTTCGCCTCTGCCCTTCTCGGGGACTTGGGGGCGGTGGAGGCGGAAAAGCTGGCCAGCTTGTGGGGATTTGGAGGGGCTGGGGATGGGTGGGGAGTCTTGGTAGTGGGGAGGGCCCCCCCTCCTGGACTCCGGGTCGGGGACGCCCCCCTGCGCGTTTCTTGCTGCCGGCCTCCTGGGGTCGGGGAGCCATCCTGGGCCTCCCCTTCCAGTAAGTGCAGAAGAGCAGTGTGGACTGCAGGGGAAACCGGCCGCCAAGTCTCTCCTTTTAAGCTGTGTATTGGGAAATTTTCAAACAAGATGCAAAGTAGAATAGAACGAACTCTGTGTACCCACGCCACCCCACCCCCCACCCCAACTTCAGCAACGATCAATTCGGTGCCGGTCTTGTTTCCCCTGTATCCTCTGCGCCTGTGTTCTTTGAAGCCAATCCCAGACATTGTAAAACTTTATTAGAAAATGTTTTGGTATATATCGCCAAAAGATAAGGCCTGGCTTAAAAAACATAGCCGCGGTACCCTTATCAGTCTCCAGCCTTAAAAGTTAACAGTAACTCCTTAATATCCTCAAATATCCTGCCAGTGTTCCAATTTCCTCCTTTGTTGCCTAATTGTTTTGTTTGTTTCCATCAGGATATAGATTAAATCCTTACATTGCAATTTTTAATATCTCTCTTAAGATATCCTTAAGATGTTCTCCTGTCTCTCGCCCCATTCTTATTTGCAACTTATTTGTGAAAAAAAAAAAAAAAAACAAAAAACTGTACAGTGGACAAAGTCTGGGTTCTCGTCTCTCTGTCCTGAGAACCTGTGCTACACAGGGTCCCAAAGAAAGGAAACCAGGAGCAAAGTGACGGGGAGGAGAGAGTGGAGTCTATCCTGCACCTTGATAGGGTCCTTTCCTCCTTTTTTATTTTATTTTTTTTACTTTACCTCTACCCTTTTCTTGTCCCCTCGCTTACTCTTTCCCAGACCCATTTTGGGGAAGCCAAATTACAGGTATGAGGGAAGCTGTCTCCGAGCAGAGGCAGAAGGAAGCTAGCTTGTCATACCAGAAAGCTGCCTGGAGACTAGATTTTATGGCGCCCGAAGGACTTTAAATTTAGCAAAGGGCTGTAGAAACCCCGTCCGTCGGGTACATTTCTTTCCCTTCAGCCCTGGGGAAGCGCGGGCCTGGGAGATGAACGGGCTCCTCGCTGGGGCCTGGATGCTGGAACCCTGGCCGGACGTCCAGGCCTGCCTTCCTCCAGGCTTGCGTCAGCACCAGTATCCCCACTTTATGTATTTGTTATTGACCTACTTCATTTTAAGAGAAATAGCTCTTTTAGGATCCTGACGGGAAGAGAATAATTTGAATGATAAAACACCCCTTTTCACCTCTTTCAAAAGCCTGCCTGTGAGTCAGCGCTCTGGCCCAGTGCTTCATAAACTTTAAAGGCTGGGTGCCCAGTGTGATTCTGGGGATGGGCTGTGTGTTTAAAATTCCCCTCGTCTTCTGGGCTAAAGTGCATTCGATTGTCTTTCTCTGTCACAGAGCCAGATTTTTGGCTGCTTTTCTGAACTTCCGAACCAGGCAGGTGTAAGAGTATAAAGATTTGGCTGACTGTCTCCCTGTTTCTTTCAACTCGGGAGGTGGAGAAAATGTTTAGAAACGTAGAATCTTAAATCTAAATCAGTGTATTAAGTGTGTTTTGGAAAACTCAGTCTTAAGCTTAACATTAACTTTTACTGACTTCCTTATCAACAGAAGCAGGATTTGTTAACCGCTATCCTACTTTCCTTCCCAACTTTTTTTACTAATTGTGGTTCCATATTAAACTCACTTTATCTGTTGTGACTCTTTCAATAACTAGTTAGAAATTCAGCTTTCAGTTTAAACACAAAAATTACCCTCCCCCCCATTTTTATTTGGACAGATCACTTTGCAAAGAAACTTTTTATTTTTTGCTCGAGGAAGATTAGCCCTAAGCTAATATCTGTACCAGTTTTCTTCCACTTTATATGTGGGTTGCCACCACAGCATGGCTGACGAGTGGTGTAGGTCTGTGCCTGGGATCCGAGCCCGTGAACCCCCGCCACGGAAGCAGAGTGTGCCAAACTTAACCGCTGTACCACAAGGCCAGTCCCCGGGAAGAAGCTTTTTAAATAAAGTGCTTTGTAGTGGCTTTAGTGGCTTTGAATGATACCATTCAGAATAATATGTGCATCTACAAAAAGATTTAGTGTTAACAGGCTTTTCTTTCTTTTTCTTTTTTTTTTTTTTGACAAGATTAGCCCTGAGCTAACATCTGCTGCCAATCCTCCTCTTTTTGCTGAGGAAGACTGGCCCTGAGCTAACATCCGTGCCCATCTTCCTCCACTTTATATGTGGGACGCCTGACACAGCATGGCTTGCCAAGCGGTGCCATGTCCACACCCAGGATCTGAACCGGCAAACCCCGGGCCGCCAAAGCGGACCGTGTGAACTTAACCGCTGTGCCACTGAGCTGGCCCCTAGGCTGTTTTTAAATATGCACGTTGCCAGGCTCTTTCCTGTATGGCATTTAATTTTCATGAGACTTTGGATGGTATTAGCCCATTTAGCCAATGAGGAAATTGAAGATAGAGAATTTAAAATCTGCGCAAGGTCAGTTGCCTAGTTAGCAGGTGACAGAGCTGGGAACCAAACCTGGTCTTTTTGTTTTTCTTAACTTTGAGATAGTTTTAGAGTCCCAGGCAGTTGTAAGAAATTATACGGAGATCTCATGTCCCCTCTCCCCAGTTTTCCTCCGTAGTAAGATCTTGCAAGGCCGTATCACAACCAAGATAGTGACATTGAGAAAGTCAAGATACGGAACATCCCCGTGTCCAAGGATCCCTCACATTGCCTTTTATAGGCACTTCCTCCCTTCTGCCCGCCCCTGACCTGGCAGTGACTGATCTATTCTCCAATTCTATAATTTTGTCATTTCAGGAATATTTTATAAACGGGATTATGCAAAATGTGACCTGTTGGAATCAACTTTTATCACTCAGCCTAATTCCCTGGAGATTCACCCAGATTGTTGCGTATATCGGTATCGATAGCTCATGCCTTTTGGTTGCTGAGTAGTACCCATGGTATGGATTTCCCCCAGTGCAACATTTACCCGTTCACCTATTGAAGGATGTCTGGATTGTTTCCAGTTTCTGCCTCATATGAATTAAATCTTCTGTGAACATTCACGTACATGTTTTGTATACACGTACATGTTCATGTATACATGTGGGATAAATGCCCAAGAGTACAGTTGCTCAGTTGTGTGATAGTTGCGTGTTTAGTTTTATGAGAAACTCCACACTGTTTCCAAAGTGGTTGTACCATTGTACATTCCCCCTAGCAGTGTGCGAGTGATCCAGTTTCTCTGTGTCCGCACCAGCGTTTGGCGTTGTCACTTTTTCTTTCAGCCGTTCCGAGAGGTGTGTAAGTGCTATCTCATTGCCATTTAATTTGCATTTCCCTAGTAGCTAATGATGTTGAACGTCTTTTCGTGTGCCTGCGCGCCGTCTGTACGTCCTCTTCGGTGAAATGTCTCTTTCTAATTAGGTTGCTTGTTTCTTTATTGTTGAGCTTTGAGGGTTCTTGGTATGTTCTAGATACTAGTCCTTTGCCAAATATGTGGTTTGCAAATATTTTCTCCCAGTCTGTAGCTTGACTTTTCATCCTTTAAGCAAGGTCTTTCACAAAACGATAGTTTTTAATTTTGATGAGGTCTAGTTGATCGCTTTTTTGCTTTATGGATCATGTGTTGGTGTCAAGTCTAAGAACTCTTTACCTAACCCTAGACCTCAAAGGTTTTCTCTTATTTTTTTTCCTCAAGGTTTTACAGTTGTATATTTTACATTTAAGACCATAATCCATTTTGAGTTAATTTTTGTGTAAGGTATGAGGTTTAAGTTGAGTTTCTTTTCTTTTTTTTCCTATGTACAGTTTTTCCAGGACTATCTGTTGAAAAGCTTGTCCTTCTCCCATGGACTTGCTTTTGCACCTTTGTCAAAAATCAAATTGCGGGGCGGGGGGGGCGTCTGTTTCTCAGATTTCTATTCTGTTTCACTGATCTGTATGTCTCTCCTGCTGGTATCACACTGTGTTCATGGCTGTAGCTATGTAGTAGGCCTTAATATCAGAGTGATTTCTCCCGCTTCATTTTTCTTTTTCAAGATTGTTTTCGCTATTCTAGGGCCTTTGCTTTTCCATATAAATTTTAGAATAAGCTTGTCTATGTCTATAAAAAACCTTGCTGGGATTTTGATAGCAATTGCGTTCAACCTACAGGTCAGTCTGGGGAGAATTGACGTCTCTACTTGGTTGAGTGTTCCAATCCACGACCGTGACATGGCCTTGTTTATTTACGTCATCTTTGATTTCTTTCATCAGCGTTTTGCGGTTATCAGCATACGGATCCTGTACATGTTTTGTTAGGTCTGTGCTTAAGCATCTTGTTTTCTTTAGAGCAATCGTAAATGATTTTGTGCTTTTATTTTCATTTTGCACATGCTCATTGTTCGTATACAGCAAAGTGAGTGAGTTTTGTGTCTTGATCCTGTGTCATAACTGAATACGTGGTTCTAAGAGCTTTCCTATCGATTCCTTGGGATTTTCTACATAGATCGTCATGTTATCTGCAAGCAGGGGCAGTTTTATTTCTTCTTTCACAAATAGGTCTGCCTTTTCTTTCTTTTTCCTGCCTCATTGCAGTGGCTAGCACCTCCAGTATTATGCTGAGTGAGAGTGGTGAGAGTAGTCCTGTCTTCTGTTTCTTTCCTGATATTGG